CAAAGAGGTCGCGACCCACAGGTTGAGAACCGCTGCTTCATAGGAATAGCCAGTCTCATCCTTCTCCCGAGGAGCAGCTGATGGATTTGAACTGCTGACTTTGTGGTTAACAGCCCAACTAGTAGTCCACAAAAGGGAGAAGAAAAAGCAAGCAGTGAGTGAAGGCTAAACTATTGAGGTGGGGGTGGGGGGGTGGGGAATTGATTAGTAGTTTAAGTTTGAATACCAAGTTGAGTACCTGGAATGTTGAAATGTAAACCCTTACCTAATTTACAATATAGAAAAATGGAAGAAAGAAAAGACATGTTTATGAAAAAGGAAAACAAAAAGGCGCCCACCTGGATTTCCTTTACCCCTTTTCTGGGTACCAGGGCATTTGTAGCTCTCAGCATCAGGGCTCACTGTTCTCCGGGGCTTCCCATCTGCTTTGGCCAGGCCTCTGGGCTCTCCCGCTAGTCCATGGCTCTCGAATCTTACCGGCTAAGGCTTTTGAGCACCCTGGGACTTGATACCTATCCTAAATGGCCAGGAGCTTCGATTTCCTCCTCCTATCTTCTATTTGGGGCTCCAATGGTCTCTACAGGTTGTTTTTGCTCTATTCTTCCCAATTTATAAAGGCTCCCCTCAGTGGAGAAAGAAGAAAATCAGGGTTGACATTGCTTTCTGCCTCATGAACGCTAACCTGACACCTTCATCCTGCTGCTTCCTCTTGTGTGAGGAACAGAAGGATTTCTCTTAAGTTGTCGCCCCAAAATATGTACCAGACTTAGCTGCGTAAGAGTGACTGTACAATAGGTGATCAGCGAAAGTAGGTCAGAGGTTATTCTCCTTAACATCAGCCATCTATAGTGGCTAGACTATTAGTCTGACTCACCCTAAATAAGACCCACTCCCTTCTGATAAGGATAGTGGTGGTCTGTTTACTTGCAGGAGATTAGAGGGCAAACCCGCCCAAGGATGACCAAGGTTAGATAGCCACTATCAGCTGTCTAGATCAAGCAGACACCACTGTTTATCCCACAACAAATGTGGACACACCCCTAGGTGATCCCCCTCCTATTGATTGTATTGCCTATGTCGCTACCCCTCCCTGTGACTTAGGTTATTGTCTGCTATCAGGGGACTTGCATGCCTCCCAGAATAGTAATTGTCTGCTTTATTGTATGAGACACCAGAATGAGCACACTTGTTCAAGAATGAAATGTATTGCCCCTTTCTGTGATGTATGACTCTGTAATCAGATCCCCCTAAAGTGATATGATGCGTGGTTAGCAATAAATAATGCGGCTCCCTGGTTCTTGGCTCCCTGGTTCTTGGGAGGGTGGCTGGAGAAGGTGGCGAAGGAGGACAAAGCAGCGGCTTCTTCTCTGACCGCCAAGCCCCCTCCACGAGGACCATCAAGCGGAGCTGAGGTGAGCGATGCTACCATGAGTTGCGTCTGACTCCATTACTTGACTCCATCCTTTAACTCTCATGCTCTCTACGACTTTACTATAATCTCTACTTATCATCGCTGTACAATTGCGCCTACCGAACCTGTGATGTTTGGTGGGGTTCCCTCTCTCCTTTAAGCCCACACTCTGGCTCGGACCAGGCCGGGCGCTACCCTGGATTGGCGGCACCCTCTGCAAGTCTCAGTGCATCATAGCCATCACCCTTCCCTCTCACTTTCCTCCCGACCTTTTCCTTTTTGAGCTTTTCAGCGAGCTTTCAGCTCCCCTCACCCGACCCCCTCCCTTTTATGTGCAGGAATTCCCTACAGATGGGCTGCCCTAGTTTCCTACTTCAGAG